CCATACTCATTGAAGTATGTAACACACTCTCTCTCTCTCTCACACACACACACACACACACACACACACACACACACACACACACACACACACACACACAAGCACATGCGCGGTCTCTCACACTTAGTGCACTGTTAATACTGTCAAATGCAAGTGTCCGCGGGATGCAGAAACAGTGCTTTTGAAAATGGCGCTTCACATTTGCTACCTTCGGTGGAAGTTTTGCAAATTGCCTCTGGTCGTGAAATAAGACACAGCATTGTGAACGAATCTCTGTCTAGATCCACGCCGATCTCTTATTCAACAAGCCAGCTGCAGTAAAGGGATGCCTTTGAGTCTGCAGGAACAGCGGTGGAGGATGCTGCGTTCAAAATCGAGCTGTGTTCCAATATGTCGGAACGAGAATTCCCGAGGCAAACTCGAAAGCCTACCCAAATGAGCCAGCTCTCATCTGTCCGCCCTTAAACAACCGTCAACCAGAGGGAGCCCAGCGGTCTGGAACAAGACTAAGGGCCTCACGGAACCAATTACCAAATGTGGGAAAGACAAACTATGGTGGGTGTAATGACATAACTTGAGAAACTCACAATCAGATCTCACTTGGATACACACTGCTCTATTCAAGGATATGAAACAAATTGGGACAGTTAGAAAGCATGGACTTATCTTAAGATGTATTAACAATTAATACAATGCACCTCAATGCACCCATGGCTCGCATCTCTCGAAGAAGGACATGTTTCTCAAAGAAGGAAACGTTCAAACTGCTTCTCCCTCTTCCTCCACGGGAATCCTTCTCAGCACCCCAATGCACCCATGCCTTGCATCTCCCGACGCCTGCACCAGCACTCTGGAGACAATGTACCTTGTCAAGTCAACTTCTCTACAGCGCTGGTTATCCCAGACTAGCACAATGAAGCAGGCACTCGACATGACAATGTCAACCTTCTGCGGCAGCATGGAGTCTTATTCTTCCAAATCACGAGCACATTGCCTCCGTCACGCTACGGTCACCTTCTATCTCATCCCCTGACCTCACTAGCAGAAGTGCCACATTCTCTGTCCAGCACAAGC